ACTGCTTAGCAACAACTAAACCATCGGTGTGTTATCAACATTATTCTCATATTAAATCCAAACCACAGCACTGTACCAGCCACTAGGAAGGAAATTAACTCTATCCCTGCCGAAACCAGGACAGTAAATTATTTTTTAAGCCAACTCTGAAGGCCACTAACAATGAGATTTCAATGGTATTCACAGAGAAGAGGGTATCGCTAAAGAAATGCTTTTAGAAACATCAAAGTAAGAAGGAGCCCCTGTTGCATAAAGCACATTCATAGATGTAACTTTAACCTCAGGAGTGCTCAGGTCAAAGCCAAATATATATATATATATATATATATACACACACACACACACTGTGCATCATCATGCTCTGGTTAGAGGAAAGCTAGGAAAGGTGAAAGGACTGCACAGCAGAGGCAGAAGAAGAAACAGGGCTGATGACCTTCGCACCCAAAGCCTTTATCAGTGAGCCGAGTCACTTTCCCAGTGCCCTCTAATAAAATGAAAGAGCGTAGTGCCTATGTGAAACGAATCACTGGAAGGACTGGCACTAAAACAAAAACGCATTTGAATTTCTTTTGAATTCTTGCAGTAGCTCTCCAGCCTCAAAAAGCCATTTGCAACACCCCATAACAACAACAACAAAGCAGATCATTACGCTAAGGATCTCCTAAGAGCTTTAGCTTTAAAAACTGCATCCAGGAGAGCATCATCTGGCATCCAGCCTCGCCGAGAGCCAGAAGATGCTGAGGTCCGGGAGGAGCTGGGGGTCCTGCCAGGCTTTGGGAAGCCAGGGTTTTGATGACCTGTTCCCCATCACACCGAGGACTTCCCTCACTTCAAGCACTTCCAGCCTGCAAACACCTCACCCTGCGCTACCTCCGGCCGCCCGCGAGAAATTTTCCAACAAGGCAACAGGCTCTAAATTTCATCAAAAATAACCCCATGCCGGTTTTATCGCTGTTAATGCAGGGCAGAAGCAAGCAAGCCAGGTGCACTGTCAGGTCTGGCTTGACCAGCTTTGCCAGAGACACAATCAAATCCTGGGCTTGTTTTATTTGTAACAATAAATTTGTTATTTACGGAATTCTCAGGTGGTAGCAGAGACCTCAAACCACCCCAAATCCGGCTTAGACCTGGAGACTGAGAGGCCACAGTGGAGCAGAACCGGTGGGACACAGGCTATTTTGGAAGTGCTGATCCCATCTTGTTTTTAGAAGAAATAACCTTGGCGGACGCAACCCACGCTGGGAAACCCAAGGGGCGAGGGGTTTGCAGCTCTGCTCACAGCATGGCTCATCCTGCCTCAACACCAAGCTCACCCTCGCTCTGCTCCTTGAATTAGCACCGGTCCATGGGATTATTTTTTTAATTTAAGCCCCCAAGCAGGTTTCTAGGCAGCTCCTACCCAGGCGCTGACACCCACATCAGTCCTATAGCGGTGGATGTGCCTGGAGACCCACGGAGACACCTGCAAGGCTCGGTCCTGGCAGACGGCTGCGGGGCTGGGAGATACCCCATCCTGGGGACAACCCACCAGTCCCCTCCTGCCCCAAACACAAGCCCAGAGCATGGCCCCTTTTGCTTTTAAATTCCTTCTTTTAGAAATTACTCTCCGAGCTGTGCTCCCGCCCAGCAAACGGGACTGATGCTCCCGAAGGACATGCCCTGCGAAAGCTGCTGCTCCTCATGCAAGGAGCATCCCCGCTGGGAAAGCCGAGGCAAATGGGGTGGCTCAAGGAACCCAACTCAGGTGGCATTTGAAAATGCCACTGGCTTTGGTCCCCTTGTCTGCAGCAGCTGCACGCGAAGAACCAGCAAAAGCCGCTGATATTTCGGCGACACGGGGCCGGTCCCCTCTGGCAGGGGGTGGGCACGAAGGGGGTGTTCAGGGCTGGGTGGAGCAGCTCACCTTGTTGAGTTTGTTGGTTTTGGGGAGCGTCTGGCTGACGTGCAGGTCCGAATACCTGGGGGGTTTCCGCAAGGGGTTGTTGATATCGCAGGGCACCGACTCTGTCCGGACTAACCTTGCTGGATTAAGAAGGGAGCAAGGGGAAAAGGGGATGGAGAGGAGGGGGAGAGAGATGGAGAGACATCAAAGCTTCGAAGGAGTACTTGGGGTCACCCTGTGTTTGCAAACCGCTCTTGAATTGCTCTCCAAAGCAATCCCCCACGGCAGCTCCAGCCGCTAAAAAACCCCCCCCGGCAGCTCCAGCCGCTTGGCTCCTGCCCCAGGATGGCAGCCACGTCTTTCGGCCCCCCCTCCACCCAGGCTACAGCCAAACCCGCCCTGGGACGTGGGGGGCTTAAAGCCCCCCATGGTGGGATGCGAACCGCACCCTTCTCCCCCCGCCGAGGGGCTGCAATTCGGGGAGGCTCAGCAGCCATCACGGCCACCCCACGAGCCGGGGGGTCAGCCAGTATCAGGAGGAGGCACCGTCCTCTTCCTCGCCGCAGCTTTTCAGGGTGGGGGGGAAGGAGCCGGCTCAGAGCAGCCTGCTCTTGGCAGAGATGTTTTTTGGGGGGAAAGCCAGCCTGCAGCCTGGGGGGACTTGGGAACGGGCCGGCTGCAGGGCAAGGCATTTAAGAGCTTTTTAGGGAGGCTATTTCACTGATACTGAGGCCACCCCAAAGCCATGCTGCTCCTTGCTCCCGTGCTAAAACATACAGCGGGCAGCTCCGGCTCTTGCAACATCGCAGACCGCAGCCAGAATTCCCAATTTCTGCCCATCCCAGGAGCCCACCTGCCCCCGGCAGCACAGGACGCTGCTTTCCCTGCCTCCTGGTCAGGGTTTGCAGCAGCTTGGAGCATGACGGAGGGGTCTTCAGCCCCTTCCACCCGAATTTGCTGCAAGTGAGGGCATGGGGGCTGGAGTGAAGGCTGCAAAATTGCCCCACTCCGAGCCACAGCATCCCCACTCGCCTTGAAAGGTGCCACCAGCGCAATGCATTTCCCCGTGATTAAACCAATGAGCGTGTTTTTGGTGGTATTTAACACAGAGTAACAGCCTTAAGAGCCCAAAATTTAAGGCAATGGTAATTGGAAGCGTTTCCCTTAGGCGGTCACAGTCCTCTGGCCATCAGGGAGCACTCGGCCAAAATCTGGAAGAAAAGAGGTGGGAAGCGACGCCCGTCGTCCTGCTGCAAAGTTCTCCCTCCTCTGTGGATTTTAGGATGGGCTCTCCCGGAGGAGAGCTGGATAAGGCAGCTCCAAAAGCACCACGAGCATCCGCAGGGGCACGGCCGCGTCCCCATGGCAGGGACCCCCATGCACCGACAGCGCCGCGGGAGATTTCAGGTCCCACGCGTCCACCCTAAGCTCTCGACGGTAGCAAAAGGCTAAAACCTGTTGCACTTACCCCGTGCGGTGGGGAATCTGAAAAGAAAAGGAGGCAGGGGAAGGGTGGGTGGAAGTGGTTTGCAATGCAAATCTGCCTCGCCCCGAACGGCTCGTCTCCCTACAAGCGGAAAAAACGGTGGGTAAAATTTTCACAGAGCGCCCAAGCGGTTCGGGAGCCTCCGTCCCGCCGGCCGTCAGCGAGGGGTCAGGCTCCCGAATCGCCCGGGGGGCTTTTGAAAGTTTTACCTGGTGGCAACATCCACGGAGGCAGAAGGGGGAAGAAAGGCCCTTACCTCCACGGTGGATGATCAGCAGGTGACACGGAGGGGCCTCTTTGGTGCATTTGTTGTGGCACTTGAGCCTAGCGGGAAACAGAGAAAAAGGCGTGAGAAGCCTTCGTGAGGGCGAAGGGGGTGCGGAGCGTGACGGTACAGCCAAAGGGATGTGGCTCAGAGCAGGAAGCATCGCTGCAGACCGGGGACCCTCTCTCCACCCCGAAAGATGACTTGATGTAACATTTCGGTTGCGCACAGCCCCTGGGTGCTCGCTGCCTGAGCGGGCCCATGGGCAAACCCTCCCGGATCCCTGCAATCCTGCAGCTTGCGCTCGGGAAGACCCGTGATTCCCAAACTGCCCGCCCGGGCTGTGGGCACAGGAATAAGAAGCGGTACAGGATGCACGTCGTCGGAGCATCGGGGCTGCTGGCTGGGAGGACGCAGAGGCTGCACGCCCTTGGCAAACGAGAGCCACGGTGGGTGCCTCTGCCCCGACGGAGGGGCGCAGGAACCCCCAAACCAGCCCTGCCTGAGGGGGGGGGGCTGCCCAGCTCCCCCCTTTCTCCGCCGGCTGCAGGGGACCAGGCACCCACCAGCCAGCTCCAAGATGCCCAAAGTTGTAATTTCCACCAGCCTCGGCTGAAATAAAAGGAGCAGAGACCCGCGCCTGGGGGAAAGCCATTTCCCCCTGACCACCATCCAGCGCTAATGCTGCTTTACGCTTAATTAAATTCAGGGGCAGCGGAGGGGAAGGAAGCGGCTGCCCTGGCCCCCTTTGGCTCCCGATGAATCTCTGCCATTGTGCCCTCCCTCCTAGCTTTATTACCAGGACATTTAACAAAAATAATGAGAGCATTTATGGCAACGTTGAATAATCTGCAGAGCTTTGCCTGGTTTTGCAGAGCCGGGGCAGGGGTCTACGGAGGGCTTCACCCCCGGGTCATGCATATAGGCATAAGCAGGCCCCCACTGCCCCGAAACGTTCCCGTTCATTCTTAATTAGGGATGGAAATGAGTCCCCAGCTCGCGCTCTGCCGCGGCGGCCCCGGCGGAGTGGGGAGAGCCACAAGGGAAAAGGCAAAAAGGAGGAAAGGATTAAAAAAAACGAGGGCAAAGGATGAAAAAAAAAAGAAGGCAGCTACAAGTCAATGGCCTGGGTAATGAAAATTCAGGAGCCGTGCATGTTAGCTTTTATTACAAAGCCGTTCCTAGAGGGAAAGGCAGAGATTAATTCAGTATTTGAGGCTTGGAGGGGTTTGGGGTCTGTTTGTTTGTTTTACCTGCTTGTTCCCCTCCTGTTTCTGGGGAAAGCAGCGCTGGGGCCAGGTGGCTACGGCAAAGCCGGCGAACCTAAATACTTTGCGTTCACCCCAGCTTTTTACAGCTGGGGAATTTCTTTGCTCTTTTCTGAGCGGCTGCGTTCAGCTCTGGGGCCCCCAACATAAGGAGGACATGGATCTGTTGGAGCAAGTCCAGAGGAGGGCCACGAAGATGATGAGAGGGCTGGAGCACCTCTCCTATGAGGACAGGCTGAGAGAGTTGGGGTCGTTCAGCCTGGAGAAGAGGAGGCTCTGGGGAGACCTTCTAGCAGCCTTCCAGTACCTGAAGGGGGCCTACAAGAAAGCTGGAGAGGGACTTTTACAAGGTCCTGTAGTGATAGGACAAGGGGTGATGGCTTTAAACTGAAAGAGGGTAGATTTAGATTAGATATTAGGAAGAAATTCTTCACTATGAGGGTGGTGAGGCACTGGAGCAGGTTGCCCAGAGAGGTGGTGGGTGCCCCATCCCTGGAAGTGTTCAAGGCCAGGTTGGACGGGGCTCTGAGCAACCTGCTCTAGTGGAAGGTGTCTCTGCCCATGGCAGGGGGGTTGGACTAGATGATCTTTAAGGTCCCTTCCAACCCAAACCATTCTATGATCCTACGACTACAGGCAGCAGGACTGACACACAGTCGGAGCCGCAGCATCGCAGGGGCAGGTCCCAGCATCCCTCCTCCCACACGGGGACCAGCCCCGGGCAGGCACAGCAGGCAGGTCTTGCAGGCAGCAAAGCCTCCAGTTGCTTGAACGTTGAATGCAATAGGAATCACCACTTCAAAATAGATATAATTTGATAATATCACTTCCAGAAAACCACCAGCAACTGCAGAGAAACCAGGCATTTCTCGTCCAGGTTTAAATCCCAACTCGCTAACTCATCAGCATTTAATCAACGGCAACAGCGATCGTTATCCCTTCATAGCTCCGGCTAACTCAGCTAACCGCAGATGATTGGCGTATTCCCAGCACCCATCCCTAGAAAAGGCAATCGTGTCTCCAGAAGCAGCTTTCCTAAATGCTGATGGCTGCACGATACCGTGTAAGAGACGGGCTGCCCCGGATCTAAAGCAGTATAAGTGGCCCCAGCCTCTGCCTCGCTATCTTTTTCCAGTCCTGCCTGATTTTATGGCCAGCGCGGTCCCTCTCCTTTGCATCGCAGTTTAACTACGGTTTGGGGTGGGTTAGCTCCTCAGTGCCACAACATTGCCAGGAAACAGAGGGCCGCAAGGCTTTTGCTGATGCAAAAAATAGAGGATACAGCCCAAGGCTGTAGGCAAAACCCATCTGACGCCCAGAGCTACCCCGCAGGCAGGCTCTCGTCCGAGCCGCTCGCCACCCCCGGTGCAGCGCATCCATCCCCCCCACCTCCTGCAGATAATTCCACACGTAACCCTATAACGTGGGCATCTAAAGCCAGGCCAAGGACGGCAGCGAGCGGGGAGGCTGTCAGGATCTGACTCAGAGCTCTGGTGCGAGCAGAGCCGAGGTCTGGTGGGCAGCATCCTCCCCCAGGACCCCGCTCCCATCCCTGGCATGCAGACCCGACCTCAGCCCCGTTTTGAGGGGTTCCTCACCCAATTTCATGTCTCATTACAGCTTCCTGCAAGGATGAGCTGGCGAGAGGCTGGCTGGTCTCCCCACGCCCAAGCCCCTGCTCAGCTCCAGCAGCAAAATCCTAATTATCCCCCTCGCAACATTAAGGAGCGACACAAACAGCTCCAGCGCCACAACGTACTTGCAGTTTTTGCATTTTAAGCCAAACAACATTCCCTTCCCGCAGACGGTGCAGGTCTGAGACATCCAGTACTTGGTGGAAAACCTGCGGAGAGAAACACGGAGAGTGGCCGGGGGGAGACGAGGCTGTGCCGCCCCATCCGTGCTCCTGCAGAAACATCTCCCGAGCCGTGCCTTATCTACCGAGCCCCGATTTATCCTTTCCTTGCTGCCCTCAAACACTGCTGCAGGTACCGAGGCGTCTTTCTAGGGCTGCCAAAACACAAGTCTGAGCCCCCGTTTGGTTATGCAGAAGGGCACAGCCTGCTCCAAAGGGGTCCAAGCCAGCCAGGATGGGCATTAGCCACCGGCTTCGCTGCGGCTCCCCAGCTCTGCCCACCCCAGACTGCGGCCAGAGCCCCCAAAACACCTCCCTGCCCTGGGGACCCAAGTTTTCAGCCCATCAGAGAAGCGTCTCCCCCATCGAACAGCAGCACCGAGGCTATTTCTAGTGCTTCTCCTTGCGGTAGATATGGAAGGGCAATAATCCAGAGATGGGAAATTTGCTGAAGGTTGGCAGGGTCACGGACTGTATACAGCTGTTATTGATAGCAGCTCAAGCCTTATCTAAACCAAATCTGAACTGAAATGGAATTTAAATGGGCTTCTAGGACAGCGCAGCCCAGCATGGGAAACGGGAAACAACCCTGAGCCCCCTCCCCCGAGTCCCGGACCAGAGATGGAAAGGGAGACGCTCATCCCCCGGCACTGGGGGGGATTCACCCAGCGCTGCGGCAGGCTTGGCGTACCTGTGTTTTATCGAGTTTCCTAGATCTCGACGGGGGATCTGCGGGGACCAGCGAGGCACTGACAGCGTATCTGCGGGGAGAGGAGAGACAGGGAAAACCATCAGGCGGCAATAAAGGCGAGAGCAAGGGTTCAAGCTTTTGGGGAGGGAAGCAAAGGACGCACACAAAAAATAGGGTTTGCCTAATATTTCCCCGTAGAGATGTCCTGCTGGGCTCCCTTTCTGGAAAGCAAGAGGCCTCTGGCTTTGTGCTTGCCTCTGCGTGGAACCAGGGTATCCTGTCCTCCCATAACAGCCCCCAGCACCCAGTTTGGGCCAGGGAGAGAGGTGGGAGGCGCTGCACCCATCTGCACACAGAGCAGGGTTGCAAATCTATCGGAGCCACCTCATGATGTCCAAACAAGAAAGGGAAAACGAAGCCAAAACGGCAACTGCATCATTTATTAATAAGACATCATGTCTTGCGGTTGCGGCTGAACAAAAAGCCAAGTGTCAGCCACCTGGAAAGCAATTTAGCTCATGTTCAAATAGAAGAGCAAAGTAAAAAGCAGCCTTGGAGCTCTCCTTCTAAGGGAAAAGGAGGGAGAAAGAGTAACAGGACCTTGGCCGGGTAAGGAAAAAGAGATAAGTTCATTAGCGCCAGCCGGAGCGGGCAGGTAATTAGCAGCACGGCCATGCCGGCACTGCGCTCGGACTCCATCTCCTGCCTCAGCAAGAGCAGAGACCCTCATCCTCCTCCTGTGGGCATGCACGAGCGACGGGAGAGGTCCTGCCCCGTGGGATGCTCAGCCCCCCGGGGGGATCAGTGCTGGGGATTCAAAGGCTGGATTTTCAATAAGGGATTCGAGAGGTTTCCCGGGCACAAGCAACCAGCCCCAGCACAATGCGAGCCGAGCAACGGTGCGGAGCCGAGCGGCAGAGCCCAGCTGCAAGCCCGGCCGTTTGCTCAGTATGCCAGCAAATCCCTCGCTAAATACGCTTTCGATATTACCCCTCCGAGTGGGGAGAACCACTGTTTGCTTTAATATCCCATTTTAATATAGCGGGCGGCAGGGTGTTTTAATTGTGCTCTCTTTCTGAAGGTTACATTTACATGCTGCTTCCCGTGCGAGGCACCCATTGCCGGGGCGGCTCGGTGGTTGTAAAAAGTCCTGGGAGCATCCTAAAACGCATCCATCTCCAGTACCTCCTGCCAGCAGCTGCTCCAGCTCCTCCTCTTACTCCGCTACCGCAGTCCCGATCCCTCCTCGGGCACAGCCAGCAATTAAGATGTCAGAGGACTACAAAGTCAATTAAGGTAATTGCTGCCCCCAGCCCCAGGTTGGCTGGTTTACACCAGCAGCATGGCAATATTTTTGACCTGTGCTTCTCACCAGCCCTTGAGACATCCCACCCCAGGCTCCTGGACCAGCATCCCTCCCGCTACCCCAATATCTGCAACGTCCCAGGGATGTCCACATGCCCCGGAGATGATGCTCTAAAGAGTGGGACCGCTCCATGCACAAGCACTATTCCTCCCTAAACGTCATTTTCACATCAGTAAATCACATTACACAAATAAGTTCCGCCCCCCGCCTCAACACCGGTCCTTGATGAACTAAACACACAGGCAAAAACAGCTCCTCTCCCAGAATTAAATTACAACCTCTGCTTTATCAGCCACAATTTATTTCCACTAACTTTCAGCTGGCCTCAATTAAATCCTGCCATCCCGGGGAGGGGGAGAGGGGACATAGGCAAAGACGGCTGAGCCTTTTAATTACTTTCTAAATGTGCTCACTGCAAAAATGTATTAAAGTGTATCGGGGATTTTAACCTCCTAACAAAAATGAGACCTACGTGATTCACGGCTAATTATGTTCATTAGAGGGAGCAATACAGGAAGGATCATGGCGTTTAACAATAGACCTGCCGTTTGCAGGAGGGGAAACAAGCAAAGCGGGGCAGGAGGGCAGGGGAAGGTGCCCCACTACGGCAGGGAACAGCCCCGAGTGTTTGGGGGGCTTTGAAGTTAATTAGTGATTCTCCCCTTTAACCGGTGCATACGAGATGCTTGCCTGGAGGAAAAGGTGTTTCTCCCCGTGCGACATTAAATCAGGGTGATGCCCAAAGGGAAGGCGGAGATGAAGCAGCCTTCCCCCGGCACAGGATGAATATTCTCATCAAAAACCCAAAATTGCCACAACTGGAGGTAATTGCAAGAAAAAAAACCCCTCGTGGCCATGGGAGCACGTCTCGCCGCTGCGGGAGGGCCAGGCTTTGTCGTAGGGACCCCGTGATGGAGGAGTGCCAGACCCGAGGCGCTGCGGCTGCCCCGATGGCACCGGGATAAGTTGACCCTGGCGAGCTTTGAAGCGTGACAGCCGGCTGCCCGCCTCCCTCCATCCTCCTGCTGCTGGCAGCTCACCACCCCGCGCTAATGACCCTGAGCTGCCCCGCAACGATTGATGTCTCCTGACCTCCTCTGCCCGGGTGTCAGTCATTACTTGTATGTTTATCACCAGCAACCTCATCTACGGCTTGCAAATCAGAGCTCTTCTAGCCATAATCCCCCTCGCACAAGTGTGTGAGGGCAGTTTTAGGACTTCCCCCGCCCTCCCTCCTCTGAGATGGTATTTAATGGGCACGGGTGTAATGTCCCAGGGAAGGATGCAGCTGGTACCCACCGAGCAGCCCAACGGGGCCCCCCCCAGCTGAGCATCTACCCCTTTCCTGCCTCCCCCATCACCTGGCTCCCCAATGTCATGACGCTGCCCGATCCCACCCAGCACATCGATCCTCACAGAGCGGCACGGACCCCGCAGCCGGGCACCCGATGCCAGGGGATGCCACCCTCCACCCGAACACCCCAAAACCTCCACACTTTCCTTCGCCGCAGCATTGTGCCGGCAAAGGTCATGGCTCCTGCTCCGCGCGGCACAACTTATCCTTGAGTCAACAGCCCGCGCTTGACGGGGATCAGATGTGCCAGGAGGAGAGCAGGGAAGGGGGGAAACTGCCTGGGCGGAGGGTGACAGCCGCCTCCGGCGCGTCTCTGAACGCCCTTCTGCGCCTCCCCGGGGGTGAAAGGAGCCTGGGACAGCCGCCGCTGGTCCCTGAGTGGCACCCGCGTAGGTGACGGGGACCGGGATGCTGCCTTGGCTGTGACGCCCTCCTCGCCCCTCGCCCCACGCGTGCCTCAGAGGTGACGGGGACCGGGATGCTGCCTTGGCTGTGACGCCCTCCTCGCCCCCGCTGCCATCCCAATGGCTCCCTGGCGCCTTTCGGCTGCCGGTGCGGATGTTTCCCCTTCGCTCCCCGGCTGGGAGCCTGGGCATCTCCTGCATGGAGAAGAGCAGCCAGAGCTTCCCTATGTCATTTATTTTGGGTTTCCACCCTTCCTGGGCGCAGACCAGGAGGGCAGCGATGGCCGCAGCAAGCCCCAACACCCCCAGTGAATACCCCAAGAGCATGACCGCTGTGCTGAACCACACCGATGGGGACCGTGTTTTGGCATATTCCCCTTCTTCATCTCCTGGCACCTTTCCGGATGCCCAGGGAATTGGTGTGAATGTGTTACCCATCACAGCGACAGCCTTATAAACAAACCCTCCTCCTCCTCCTACAATAAACAGTGCCAGGCGACGTTCGCATTATGAATGGGACGGATAAAATCGATGGAAGTGAACTTGGAAAGCATCCCGGGATGAATCACTGCGAGGCTGAGGAATGGCCAGGAGACTTTGCACTTGTCCGTAGACGTCCTACAGACCCACATCTACCCCAGGCAGCCACCGTAGCACTCCCAGAGCCGGCTCCCCGAGTCCCCTGGGGAGATTGTGGGGAGACACCGGGGTGCAGCCTCCTCCCGAAACAGTTCAACAACCACCTAGAAGACAACCACAACAGGGCCAGCATCAGGTGTATCTCTACCACCCCACCCCCAGGCAGAAATCACAGCCCAGGGGCCATATCACGATGGCGATGGGGGACGCTGGCAGAGATTACTGCCCGCATGGTCCCAACTGGGGAGCCAAGTGCACCAGCAAGCTGCTCCGCAGCAAAGGGTGCACCCAAGGGTGCAAAGTCCCTCCACGAGACACCTCGGTCCTCGCTTTAGCTGGTTTTAGGACCAAAATAGGCCCTAAATGGCCCTATTTTGATATAGGATGGGAAAGATCCCCGAATAGCTCAGCTGCAGCAGCAAAGGAGCTGCAGCAACACTTGGAGCAGCAGCAGTTTCCCCCCCCAGTGATATAAAATCCATGCAGGATTCAAGCTAAAAAGGGAGCCAACCTGCCTCCTCCGTTAGTGCACGCGGCAAATATTCTGTACACAATCACAGCCAGGTCCAAACCCAGCGACGTCCCCGCTGCGGGTGGAAGGATGATCCGGTGGGTTAGAAACAAAACCTCAGCCCTTGCCAAGGGGATCATCCAAAGCAGCCAAACAAGGCAGAGCTATCCTCATAGCATCTCTCTAGTAAGAAAACAGAGTCACTTTATAATCCTGGCAGTTCCTCTTTGCAGCGTGACAATCCTATTTATACAGCCGAAATATCATGTTCGGTTGCTTTGCTGGCTTAAATACTCGCATTGTGATTTTTTTTTCCCCCCGGTTTGCAGCCTTGCAGGGTCAATTAGGCTTAGCCAGACAAAGCTGCATTCTTTGGCTTCGCACAGCGCTGCCGGGGTAGGAAACCCTCCGGTGCCTCGCTGCCAGCTGGAGCGGCCCGATGGTGAGGCAGCCAGCTGTGGCCAGATGGGGGCTGCAGCTCCGGAGCTCCCAGCCGGGCTGCCAACACGGCCGTGGAGTGCTCGTACCATGGCTTGTACTGGCAGCAGGGCAGGTTCAGGGAGGAGAAAACCACTGATGGTCACAAAGAAATGATGTCCCACTTGGGAAGTCCCCTGCTGAAGGCGGTTTGGGCCGGGACGGTGTTAAGGAGAAGTCTCTTCCCACGAAACCACCCCCGGCATCGGGGACGGGATGCCTGCAGAGAGGGGCCATGGTCTGAATGGCACTGACTGCTTGCACACGTGTCCCACGGCACCTTCAATGCTGGCATCACGCTTTCGGGTCCCACCTGGTC